TGTTCCCTTTATGAATATCAGTCCATTGTCTTGGAGTTCATTGTTCATGCATTTTCACACGAAATGCCTTCCATTCGCGTTCATTCCTTCATGTTCTTCTACTGAAACACATTCTATGCCTGACGACCATTATATACTACTTATGTGGATATAAGTAATGCACACCACATGACTAAAATATTATTTCATTATTATGCAATACATAAAATGTGTTGGTTTGCTTGTGCTCTAGTGAGAATGGAAACGAATGTTAACTTACAGTCGATGGAGGACTCTCGTCGCTGTAATACTCATGATCTTAACCATTGAAATTACTACAATCTCCACAAAACTACTTCTGATAATATGTTACTTTTGTCGACTTAAGTAGTTCACCTCACGGATGTACTCTGTAAAATGCATATTTTCGGTGTTTATTTTTTGATATCTACTCTAAATATAGATCGTTAATCACAAAAGTAACCAGAGATAATATAATGTAATAAGCTTGATTTAGATCTGAACTAGTAGAAATACAAGAAAAAGAATGTCATGATACTCAGCATTAGGAAACGCATTTACTACGTCACTGAAACATTTACGTTAGTATCTTTCTAAATGATGATGATGCTGTATGTTTTGACAAGCAAACAACATGTGGTAATCCACTTTTCCCAACTGATAGTTGTTAGGATCAAGGGATACAAATTTGTAAGATTGATAATATTCTCTTAAACGCTGTTACAAGTAAAATTTTCTGGTTAGCGTTATTTAGCGAGCTAGTTTTCTACGGGATCGAGTCGTTAAACCCCACGCTCAACTCTCCACCATTTTCCGGGCTTGATGCGAGCAGTAGCCTCCGGAGAGACTCCTTGAGGAGTTGCTACAAATCAAATACTTTGTTTTATTTGAATATGATAAGAATTGTGACTTCAGACAGCTATATCATAGATTTATTGATGTTGTGTGCATTATCAAACAATATGATGAAGTATGAAATGTCTTTTATATTGATTGATAACTAAAACTTTAACACCATGAACTGAATCGTCTGTATTTCGCTGTGAAAGTATAATGATTCAGAAATTAGTAAACTGTAAGTTGTACAATATTACAAAGAAACGTTTACTTGCATATTTGAATGTGCACAGATGAGGAGTTTCATACAAGGATGTTACGATCGTCTAGTTCTTCAAGGTTTTTATTAGTCTTCTGATGTAGATCAGTTCATGACTTAAATGTAATTCAACAATCTCTGCCAACTTTTTCTGACGATTATTCTAACATGTATGTAGTTGATACTCACGTATCAGTAATCAATTTAAGCTGAGCTAAACGTCTATAATATTCCTTTCATGTTTTCAGAATAAAGCAGAAATAAAAACATCAGGATCATCAAACACGAACGCTAAACGTCTAGACCGTTGCGCTAGTATCCAGTTCTGTTAATGCCTAACTTCAAACAATTCACAACATTTTGAGATCATCTTATATTGTCTTCGGTGTGTAGATGAAACACATTCAACACAGATAAGCTTCACTGGTCATGGCTTCTCACTAGAACACTGCAAATTTCTTCTCGAATCTAGTCACAGAAACTTATAAAACGAAGTAATTTTATTTGTCGTTACCAAAGTTGGTGGTTGAATTTTACAGTATGTAAATAATAAATTGAAGTGATATATATTACTAGTCAAATTCATAGGTCGATCTAACGTAGACCAGTATTAAAAATTTGGAAGCACTGAACAGCTGTTTCGTTCATGACTCTGCATGTGGGATTCTAAACCAAGACTTTCAGTCTCACGCGCGAACTTTTAACTACCAGATCACTGAGCTGGCGTCCAACAGTATTAATCTCTAACTTCAATTAATCCATAACCTTGCACGATCATTCATCTATCTGTCTCTACTCGACCTGGATTGGTCTCTATTGGTCAGGAGTTCCCACTTTAACACTAGGAGATTCATCTTGAAGCCAGTCATTTGTGAGTACATGATTATAATTATCATTGGAATGGCGGTTTGTGGGGATTGAAGTGGTTTTGTTAGTTGAATTCATGAGTCAATGAAGCCATATACATATATGCTATTAGTGTAGGGTTGTGCAAATCGATTGATGTTAGACTACCATAAAAAATCTGGAAGCTCTAGTAGGCCGTCTCATCTTATTTTGGTACTTTTCAGTAGTGCGCATATACGATTCCACAGATCTCAGATAAATTTACTTAAAAACAAAGAATATGAATAATATAACAATGATGATAGTTCACTTGATATTGTTTGCTTGTATCTTCTCATTGTTGTTTAGGACTGCCTTGATACTGATGTCAACTCCGGAACTCAAACCTAGTATAGTTGGCTTCATATATCATCGCGTTATCCACTTAGCTACTGAGTCCTGATTGTCACTTGCTTATGTAATGAGGTGAAGTTTAAATTCACTTGATATTATTTGCTCGTAACTTCCCTTTATTGTTTGGGATCGCGATTGATCAGACTCTTATAGACATATGTGCATCGTGTGCGAAATACCTCGAGTCTCAGAGTGATTAACAAATCTAGGATGTAAGTACATCCAACTGACGAGTCCTAAATAGAACGAAATATCGAGGATCTTGAATTCACCGAAAAAAATCAACCACTGTTACTACTGTCTATTCGTTATTCAATTTTCTATTACTCATACAAACTGATATTTACTTAACTGTATTCAAACTGCTCAATAATAATATACAGATAAGTAATATACTCCATTAAAATTATTTTGTCCAGTTAGAATAAAGTAAACGTTTAGATGATGTATTTTTCTAGGCTGATGATTAGTTGGTAATTCATGTGCTCTCTCTTTCTCTATTTCTATATATAGATATTCCTAACTAAAACAAAGCTAATAGAATAGTGAAAGAGGGATGAGGGAGGTAGGTAAAGTGTCTCTTCATCTCTCTCCCTATCTATCTATCTATCTATGGATAGAAGATTAGATATAAGTGAGAGGGAATAAGATAAGAATGAATTTATCCATAAAAATTTTATTGGTCTCTATTACTTTAGTTCACATGTAACATAATAATCAATGTATGTTCATTTCGATAGGTCTCTCGAATAAGAACTAGTAAGTTCATCATCATCATCATCATCATCATCATCGTCATTATTATTATTGTCATATTATCTATACTCAATAAGAAATGAAGATGTGTGAATTTGTTCTTCTTACTTTGTTCTTTTAGATGAAACTTGAAAAAGTGTTTCATTTCGTCTTTATTTGGTTTCCTCAGTTGTTGGGCTCCCTTCTTATAGTCTATTAAAAAATTTGGTGGAAAACATTTGAAAAAATACAACAAATATTAGTAACTAATCATATTGCACATAAACTGATCGATTTTCTATTGACCTGGCAACTATAATATGATTGTCAATTTTAATAAAATATTTATTTCATCAATTTAATATTGATTGAATTTCAAACGAGTTATGTAGTAAAATCAATAAATATAGATTATATTAACAATACTACTATGAATACTACTTATAATGTATAAAATAATAGTAGTAGTAGTAGTAATAATGAATCATTTTTAGAATATGAAATTGAATTCCATTTAAATGATAATACACCAGTGAAATTTTTAGTTGGAGAAATTTTTACTTCTAATTATACTGAACAGAAATATCCCCATGACCACGGCGACGACGACGACCACCACCACAACAACAACCACATAGTAACACTATTATTCGTTCCATATTAATTCCAGATACATATTTTCAATGAACTTTACAAGGTGATTTATATTGCCTTCAAGAAATTGATCGTGATTTCATTTGTTATCAACTGAATTGTTGTTTATTAGATTCTTGTCAAATGAATATTGAGGTATATTTATGTAAAATGATATTGAAACCAATGAAAATTCAAATTATAATTATAATTATTTGATGAAAATGATAATAGACCCTTATTTCCTAAATCTAATCTAAAGAACAAGAAAAACAACATTGACGACGACGACGACAACAACAACAATAATGAAACATCTATGAATGTTTAGGAATTAATTATACCAGAATCTGCCTCAATTGGTCATTGTTATACATTACTTATGGCATTAGATATCGATTCACCACATTATGGTATGAAACAAAATCGATTAGAATTAATGAATAATCCATCAATCAATCATACAACTATTAATCATTTCAATCCAATCGAATCTAATTTAGAATCGTCATGTAGTTTAATTAATCCAAATCAATCTATTCACATCAAGGATCACCACAATTACAATGGAATGGATTGATTAGATCGTGAAAACAGATCTATCTATTATCATTATAATCAATTAAAATTGTTGAAGATTATGGTTGACCATCCTTGCAATGAATTCTGTTATTATTGATTAAAATTATTGATATTATTTATGATCCTCCATCATTGTTTATCAATGTTACCATAGATACACAAACTTCTATTATCAATAATGATCATTATAATATTTATATTATGGAAAACATTTAACAATTGGTACAAAGATTTATCATTTCTATACGGAAGATTTAGATGAAGGTGAAAAGAGTGGGGTTACTTATTGAATTGATTAGAAATCAATATACAGTTAATTCAATCAATCAATCAATTATTCAATCAATGATATGGAAATATTCATTAAATTCATTGAATGATGAATGAATGATATCGAATCATTTCGATTATGAAAATCAATATGAACGTGAAATCATCTTAATAATTAAGGCTATTGATAGTGGAATAGCAAAATTAACATCAAGTTTAGCTTATACAATTCATTTAATTGATATTAATGATAGTGAACCAGAGATTGATATCATCCCTATACAAACTACTGAAATCCACAACAGTAGTAGTAATAATAATCAATATCTAGGGAATATGAGATGTTATGCATTATTTGATGAACATGATCCAACCTTCACCACCACTAAGTATTAGGATGAATTACTATCAATCATAATGATGATTGTTCCATGAATAAGATTCAATGGCAACTCACGGATCAAGAAGAAAATCTTGGCAATTTATATTTCTTTCTGATTCAAATTATGTTTATGGTTTATTGAATCCACATGAATTGGATTATGAATTAGATACAAATCATAATAATCATGGAAAAATATTAGCTGGTATACAATGTGTGGATAAAGTTGAACGGTCAAAACTGATTCATAAATGGTTGAATATTGAATTAGAAAATTTCAATGATAATTGGCCACAATTTCATCAAAACAATGATGAATTTAAAATTTATGGAAATGTACCAATCCACACAAGGATTGGACGAGTTGTTGCTATGGATATAGATTCTGGTATCTATTCCATTGATGACGAGTCAAGATTGTTTGTATCTGGTTTAATAAATCGTGAAACTCAATCACAATTTCTATTAAAATTGATCGCTTATGATCATGGTCAATCGGTTATTCATACATGTACAATTACTTTAACAGTTTTTATTGATGATATTAATGATAATCAACCAGAATTATCATATCCAATGAATGGTAGTCTTCTGTTTGAGATGCATGAAAAATGGAATTGGTTTCATAATAATAAACAATCAATAACAACAACAACTATACCAGCTAATATACCATATGGTACAATAATCGCTACTATACGTGGTAAAGATCCAGATGCTGGTGAAAATGGTACTATCATTTATTCTGTAGTACCAAGTTAAATATCTTGTTTCAAACAACAAATAATCAGGCAAAACACTGATATCAGTCTTGAAGCAAATGATAAGAACATCATGAGTAATCCTAGAAGTCATTTAAAGATCAATGAAAGAAACCCACAATATCACAGAGATAACAATATAGATGTCTTGGATTTACATGAAGGATTTCTCTATTTAACTATTCATGAACATACAGCTCAATTAACAACATATTGGAATAATCATATCAAAGAACCAATGATTAAATCATCGATTGATGATCAATCAATCAATGTGAGTGAATCACAGTTCATGAATAAACAGTCCACATCAAAAACTTCACCGATATCTCGTTTATATTTAATATCGATTCATATACAAGATAAAGGGAAACAACAATATACAACTGAAGTTCTGTTTTATGTTAATATTAGCGAATCGATTGAGGATCAATTAGGTTTCTGGACATTATATAATTCTCATATAAGTAATCAAATAATATTGATTCTAATTATTATATGTAGTTTAATATTAATGATTAGTTGAATAGCTGCTATATGATGGGTACGTTTTAGATCAGATCATCAATTATTAAGATCTAGATTCAATATAACCTATAATGAGTATAAACCAGGTATAATCATCTTACCAGAAACACATCATTCAATGAATTTATCTCCTACTGATGATATAACATATAAGAAATCTTTAATGAATTCAAATCAGACAACATGTTTACCTTCAAATATATTAACATCACAGAAAAACTGGAATATTCCAGAAGAATATCCTTTGTCAAGAGGACTATACTATGATGATCCATTATAAACAGTGACATTTATTTATAACGAATATAGATAAGAAATTATCTAACTATATACAACCTTCTTATCATTATAGTAATCAAATTATGAATCAACGATCATCAATACATGTATATCTTTTACTTGTAAATGAACAAAATACAACCGATCATAATGCAACTTTGAATAGAACTGGATGGATATCCACAACAATAAATCGATCTAGTCCATATCATAAAACTTCATTGATCTACAAGCATTCTAATGAGCATATTCCAAATATGATACAAATGGATTCATTGACCGATAGAATAGAGTTATACAGTGAAGCTGTACTATAAATAAATCATATAAATGATCCACATAATAATAATAGCAGTAAATGTGGTAGTGATAGAGGTTTAGATAGTGGAACAGGAATCATTATAAATTCTGATACATATTTACCTATACCATCATATGAAAAACCTGTTACTAATAATATTGATCATGAGAATCTAGATGAATTACATCATGTAGTTGAATTTTCACCTAGATACAACACTACACATTGAATAGATTAGATTAAACATGAGAAATATGAATGAAGAAAAAGAGATGAAAAACTATATCACTATTTCAAAATGAAACTTTTACCAATGTTAGTTTATTTTAAGTCACATAACATTGATTTGTACAAAAGCTTAGTGTACGAATTTATCATCTAGCAAAACAAATATTTTTATTGTTACAGCACAGACTTTTTTCATAATGAGTTATTGATATATTGTAGTGAAAGCGAATGTGACTAGTCACTGAGTGTCAACAAATAGGCACTCATTTAACTGATCATTAAATTTGTTATTTCGTTTCCTCTTATTAATTTTTACTGAAGACTCACTGAACGTGAATGTTTGTATTTGTTCGAAGTGTCAAACAGTTTTTCGTTCAATGAACAATAACACTCGAGTTCTTGTAATTGAGTGTTCATTGAAGTCCATCAAGAACGATAATATTGATAACAATAATCAAATAACATCCTACATCTAATCAGCTGTGAAGATCCTCTAAGTGTTCTACGACCATTTCTTTAAAATGAAAGTTTAATATGCGGCCTCTCACATCCATGAAGATGAAAATTTAGCACCGTATAATCGCGAAACATAGCCCTCTGTTGGGTTCTAGTGGCTCTCTTTAACGCCTCAAGTAATTGCTACGCTACCAAGTATCCGACAATATATTATCAGTTTCCGTTACAACGTGGGAAACGACAGAGCTGGTACATTATTATCGTTCATAATTTGAAGAAAAGGTGCTCGTTTGACAAGTATTAACATTTTATATCAGTCTCAAGACCTACATAACTAATTATAGCGAAGTTAAAACTAGCCATATGAATGGACGAAAAGAAACGAAGAACACTGAAAAATGGGCGTAAAAAAATTAAAAAATATCAGAAGGGGTTTTTGTGGATATTATAGTAATTTCAATAGTTGAGGTCATGAGTCAATCGAAGCTAGATCACGATGGAAAACCTGGAAGTACTGGCTGGCCGTTTCGTGCTATTGTAAGACTCCTCAACAGTGCACATCCACGATCCAATCTCGCGAGATTCGAACACAGAACCTATTAGCTAATTCAGTGAAAGATTTTATATAAGGGTATAGTACAGAAAGAAAGAATTGGTTCGTAGAAAGAAAGATATGAATCGATTTTAATCTCACGGTTTGAAAGAAGACAGATAGTGTATACACCTACGCGATTATGACCGAATCTGAGGCATGTCACACACAGTCTCCAACTGTGGCGACGGACAACGGGTGAACTCAAGGAAACAGTAAGAGGCTCAGAATGAGCCGAAGATATTCCATCCAATCACTTTTAGGAAGAACATTCTAGAATTCCTACGTGCAGCTTCCCGATTGAACAAGCCTAAGAAACCCCTTGTATGCGGATTGGAGGAATGTGATGATGATTTTTGTTCTTACTAAAAACTATAAATACCTGACAATTTGTACCATAATTGACACTGTCGGGAATAAAATTCCTTTCACTAGTCTTCTGTCTTATCATTGTGAATTTGAAGGATTTCGGCGTTCTGGTGTTCAGTTAAACGCGCTATATCAAGTAATCAACTTTCTAGATATAACAACTAGCGACGGGGTTATCATATCAAGATGTCATCTACCTTTGAATAACTTGAAGCCTTACTGCAACGTCAAGAAAAACGTTTCGAACAGTTCCAGATGCGCATGATAGAAAAACTAACCCAGAAAATGAACCTGAATCAAAAAGAAGTTGCAGATGATCCCTTCAAATCTCATGTTGACCACATCATTGATTCAATCCATGAATTTAATTTAGATGCTTCAGCTGGTATTTCTTTCGAAACCTGGTTCAACAAATGTGAAGATTTGTTCAAGGTCGACCTCAAAAAACTTGATGACGCCGCTAAGGTCAGAATACTCTTACGAAAACTTGGAACTGCTGAACATTAACGTTACAGTAACTTTGTATTTCAAAGAAATCCAAGAGATTTTTCTTTTGATGCAACGATCGAAACTTTGTCGCAATTATTTGCTGAACAGTCATCGTTGTTCAATATTCGTTATCAATGTCTCAAGATAACAAAAGCAGGTGATTATGACCGGGTGAAGCATGCGGGGTTAGTAAACCGTGAATGTGAGCGCTTCAAACTATCAGCACTGACAGAAGACCAGTTTAAGTGTCTAGTGTTCGTGTGCAACCTCCAATCTCCCGAAGATGCCGATATTAGAACCAGGATTTTGAGGAAACTTGAACAATATCCGAACATAGCATTACAGGAAGTAACCACAGAGTGCCAGATATTGGTAAACTTAAGACACGACACTTCCGTGGTCGAAACTAATGTCCAGTTGCCATACGTTCATGCTGTAAGTGGAAAGAAAGATTCCGGCTCAAGAAAGTCATCACACACAGACAATCAGCCCTCATCTCCATGTTGGTCGTGTGGGGGTTGGCACTATAAAAGTTTCTACACATATAGAGAACATTATTGTAGTAAATGTCACCGGGAGGGCCATAAAGAAAACAGATGGGAAAAAAACCCATAAAGGACAGACATAATGCACTAACTAACAAAGTATCACATAATCGAGCACAAATTTGCCGCCGACGAAAGTATGTGAACGTAGATATAAATAAAAATCGTGCCCGCCTGCAGCTCGATACTGCTTCCGACATCACACTTATCAGTCGAAGAACCTGGTATCTTATCGGAAAACCACAGGTGCTATCGACAACTCAGTTAGCTCATAGCGCTTCTGGAGGAAAATTGGACATTGTTGGAGAGGTTTGTTGCACTGTTTCAAAAGGAAACGCGAAGACGAAAGCAAAACTATGTCTCACAGAGAACACAGGACTAGGTTTGCTGGGTTTAGACCTACTAGAGACACTACAACTAACAAATCACTCCATTAACCTAATATGCAGAGCCGTGAGAAACAATAAACCAGTTGAGAAGAATCTGAAGAATGTTATGTTAGAAAGACATAGTCAAGTGTTTACAGAACAATTGGAGGAGTGCAAAAAGGCAAAAGCAGTACTGATTCTTAAATCGGGAGTCACACCCGTCTTCAGACCAAAACGTCCTGTACCCTATGCAGCGTTGCCTATTGTTGAACAAGAATAAGAGCGTATGCAAAGAAGTGGAATAATGGAACCAGTGAAGTTTTCTGATTGGACAGCACCACTAGTGATTGTCAAAAAGACAAACGGAAACATCCGGCTATGCGCAGATAATCCGACTGGATTAAACGAAGTGCTTGAAGCCCATCAATACCCTTTGCCGGTACCAGAAGATTTACTTGCGAAACTGAATGGGGGTAATTATTTTGCAAAGTTAGACCTATCAGAAGCTTGTCTACAGATTCCAGTAACGGAAGAATGTAAGCACAACTTGACAATAAACACTCATACAGGATTATTTCTATGTAAGAGACTTCCTTTTGGAGAAAAGACCGCCCCCTTGATTCTTCCAACAAGTTATGGATACTATGTTACTAGATATTTCTTTTACGGCGGCCTGTTTCGATGACATACTGATCATGGGTACAGATTATACTGACTTGAAAAATAAGGTGGACACGGTTCTCAGGCGCATAGCAGATTATGTTTATAGATCGCGTACTGAAAAATGTGATTTTGACATGAAGCATGTCCGTTATTTGGGATTCGTAATCAACACAAACGGAAGAAAACCTTATCAATTCCATGCCTCCACTGACGGATGTATCAACTTTACGTTCTTTCTTGCGAATGTTTATTGATTATGACGTCTTTCTTGAAGACCTGCATCGCTTTCGTGCTCCTCTAAATTGCTTACTGAAAAAAATACGAAATGATTCTGGTCAACCGAATGCCAGGAAGCATTCCTAAAACTTAAGCAGCTCGTATCATCAGACCTTCTATTTACACATTATGACCCAAAGCTTCCAATTATAGTCGCGGCAGATGCTTCAAATTATGGACTCGGAGCTGAAATTTCACATACCTATCCGGACGGGTCTGAGAAGGTCATGAGTTAATCAAAACTGTAAAAGGCTCAGAATGAGCCGAAGATATTCCATCCAATCACTTTTAGGAAGAACATTCTAGAATTCCCACGTGTAGCTTCCCGATTAAACAAGCCCAAGAACCCCCTGTATGCGGATTGGAGGAATGTGATGATGATTTTTGTTCTTACTAAAAACTATAAATACCTGACAATTTGTACCATAATTGACACTGTCGGGAATAAAATTCCTTTCACTAGTCTTCTGTCTTATCATTGTGAATTTGAAGGATTTCGGCGTTCTGGTGTTCAGTTAAACGCGGTATATCAAGTAATCAACCTTCTGGATATAACATCAACCTTTGGTTTTGATAATCATGCGGACCCCAACCGAGTAGTTTGCATCTACCAACATGGCTCAGACTAGAAGTTAGCGACTTCAAGCACTGATGACACGTTTCGGTTTGGTCGCCCTTAATTTTCTTCCAGCTATCCTCTAAACATTAGTCACATTGCGCAATGAGGTGAACAGTGTTCAGGCATACTTAACACGTGGACCAACCATCTCGGTTGATGAATATCTACAACCTCACCAACTGATTTTCCTATCATTCCCTTATATCCTGTCATCAAACTTCACTATTACTTACCCAGTGATCCCAGCAGGTTCGAGAAATATTTCTCAGACCTCTGTGGTCAAATACTAGTAGCTTACGAGTGTCTTCTACTCTTAATGGCCATATTTCGCAACCGTAATGTAGAACTGAACGAACTGCCGGGCAGTAAAAAATCATAACTTTTTCAATGTCATCAATGAGATTATTTATC